AATGAGGTTTAATAGCCAGTTATCCGAAAGAACCTATAATAGCATATTCCTCAAGCAATAGCCAGAGAAATGCCGCTCTGGCCATTGCTGGATTGACTTCTGATACTTACGTTTTTGAGGGAATGTGTCTATTCTTCCCGTTCAATCAAATCGCTCCTAAGTAAAGTCTTTCGTTTAATCTGGGGTCTTCCCTCTTTGGACAGTGAGTTAAGGTATTAAAAACAGTGAAAGTATTGTTCGTCTCCAAACAGTATTGTTTACATTGTACCCATGTTGATAGCCTCGTGTGTCACGCAATTAGTTTTTCTGCGATATTCTGCTATGCACTGGTTAATTGGGCGTAATAAATTTCGTGAATCATGACGTAACGTTATGTTAACATATTTGAAACTCTGTTTAAACCAAAATGATATTGTTACGCAGTTAGGTATTGGTTGTTAATCGGACTATTGACAAATCGTAATTTGGAACGGAAATTTGCTTTTATTACGGCAGTGTTGAGTGGGATTAGGTCTATGCTATTAGGGGAGTATGCTAAAATAGTGACCTTACGCTCATATACAATTTGTTTTTTGTCTTTTTGAAATATGGCTTGATTCGTTTGTCAAGTATAGACAGATGTATATAACTAGTACACTATTTAGTTTTTATGATTTGCTGTTCAAAAATCCATCATACTTCTACTAGCTCATGAGGTTATATTGCCGAATTAATAAAATGTTGACAAATAGTCTTGTAGCTCAGTTTTCGTGATTAGATACTTATTGGATAGATAGATAGATAGCGCTAGATAGATAGACAGATAGATAGAAAGATAGTAATAAGTATTTGTATTTTTTGATGAAAGTATATAATCTGCGTTTATATTTATTTGTTTATTTCTATTTTTATTATGGCTTGCTCTTTTAAGAGATCCATTTTACATTTTTCTGTGTGTAAATAAAGCGGTTTATTTTTCATCATTTTTGTTGAAAATCGTTATTTTTGTACAAAAATGGAAATTATTTACTACTAAACGGATCGAGTGCCACCCATTTTTTTTTTTCTTGATCTGAATACTATAGATCATTGCCTTTTCAGTCAACATTCCAAAAAAATACTTAAACCCGAAGTGGGTGAGATATAGATAGAATAAAACGACATACCTAAATTGAGCTATTTTGGTACCTTGCAGCAATAAGTCCTTATACCAAAAACCGCTCCATAAAAATCCATCAAACTTTCAGAATGTATACTCACTAACCATATCTGCTACGCTATAAAGTTTCATTAATCTACTCGCCGTAGTTAAGTTGTACGAAATAATTGAAAAGTGGCCTGAAAATGATGATTTTTTGGCTTTTTTCGATCTTAAAATTTCAAATTTTTTGCAACGCTCTAAAAATGTTTCGATTGATCTAAAATTGTGGCAGCGAGGTTTGGATGGGTTACCCATCATACATAAAAAAAATGGTGAAAATCGGTCACCCACCATGTGCCGGTCCCTGCATGGTTCTCTCGCAAACGCATTCTTAAATGTTTGACAGCTGTCCCCAAGATACTGTAACTTGGTCCAGTATCTCAATACCAGTTCGTTTCGCCTCAATTCGAATGACATTTCACCTACTTCCTGCAATATACTTTCCCTTTTTGTGCCAAATGAAGCTTTCGTTGCTATCTTTATTACCTGATATTGTAAACTGTCTAGTTTAGCAAAATCTGTTTTATTTGCACTCGCAAAAACGACACAATCATAGTCACATATTGATCTTATCATGGACCTATATATCATTAGCAGGGTCGTTTTATTTGCTCCTTGTGATATGCCCGTCCGGCATCTCATTACGTTCAGAACATTCTGCCCACGTTTAATAATATTTTCAATATGTGGTATAAAAGTCATTTTGCGATCAAAGGTCAACCCTAGAAGCTTTGCCTGATCTTTAAATTCAATTCAGATAATTCAATTCAAGTTTCATAGACGACACTTCTCTGTGATCGCTACAGAAGAGCATGCCTACTGTTTTACTTTCAGATATTCGAAATCCCCAGTCATTAGACCATTTCGACAATTTGTCTAAGGCTTCTTGCATTCTCGTTCTAACTGTACCGTAGTTATTCGCTGCATGTCAGATTGAACTGTCGTCTGCATAAACCACTACGTCAATAAGCTTCTTAATGTAGTTATTAGACTGAAGGTCATTAATCATGATATTTAAAACTGTGGGGCTTATAACAGAACCCTGGGTTGTGTATACTTCGAGTTCGTATTTGTTGCTTACTGAGAGACCTACATTAACTTGTATTTGGCTATCGCTTAGAAAATCCTCAATCCACCCAAACTAAGTCAAATGCCTTGGTCAGGTCGACGAATAATGCACATAGATAATTGTTCCTTTTAGATAGTGAAGTCATGATGTCATGCTGTAACCTTACAATATGATCACCAGTGGAGCGCTGCTGCCTATATCCACTTTGATTTGGACTAATTAATTCATTACTTTCACAGTAATATTTTAGCCTATTATTTACCATAGTCTCAAGTGTTTTACACAGCGTAGAGGTCAAACTTATCGGTCTGTAAGAACCGGTTTCAATTTTATCTTTTAATGATTTAACTGGTTATCGTCGCTGTTTTCCAGCTTGTAGGAACTATTCCTTCTGACCATGATTTATTGAATAATTCTAAAGTAAATTACGTAATGACCCTGATAGTTTTATTAACATGCTATATTTTATTTGATCTTCGCCAGCCGCCGAGTCAATTTTGCCACCTAAACCTTTATGCATTTCCTCTATGATAAAGGGTAAGTTAATTGCTTTATGTTACGCAATGGTTTATTCCAATGAAATTCTGACTTTCGTTTTAAAAATTTGTCACTGTGATTTTTAGCGCTACTGCCACCAGAAAACTTTTTTGCTAAAAGCTCCGCCTTTTCGCTATTTGTCATGGCTGATTGGGATTGATAATTAAGCGTAGGAATATTTCTAGAAAACAAAAATTGCCGCTTATTGCATTTAAAATTTTAGATTTATCATTAGTACTATCACAGAATGCCATCCAGTGCTTTTCTTTTGCCTCTGAAATGACCTGTCTGGCGTTTGCATCGCACTGAGTATATAAAGATTTATTCTCTGCGGACCATTGGCAGAATAGTTATTAAAAGTGAATTTTCCTTGCATTTACGGCTGTTAGATATTCTGGGGACCACTAAGGTTTGGGGGCGCCTTTAGTTTTCCCACCTGTTGTTATGGGGATTGAGGCTTCTGTTACACTAAAGATCGCACGCGAAATATTCTCAGTAAATATATTTATATCATCGTGTCTAACTGCGCTTAGGTCGATTTCTTCACAGTAGTGTTGAAAAAGAGTCCAGTCTGCGTGTTTAAGTTTCCATCTTTGTTTGCACGTGACTGGTTCTTTATTAACGTTTGGGTTTATTTCAGTTAAGACTATTAGATGATCACTACCTAGCGTATTATTTATGACTTTCTACTTACAGTTGAAAGCTATACTGGAAGATGTTAGGGTAAGATCAAGGTGGGTTGCATCCAGTTTGTTGCCAGTATCGATATATGTTGGTTCAGTAGGACGTTAAACCCCATTTCATTTCATTATATGTTGGAATTTTCAATAAAATTATTCAGTTTATCTCCAGCATGATTATTAAGAGGGGAGCCCCAGGTGGGGTGGTTACCGTTAAAATCTCCACATATAATAATATCTTTAGTTAAAATCTTTAGTTAAAACCTCCACATATAATAATATCTTTAGTTAAAACCTCCACATATAATAATATCTTTAGGGTTTTTTTTTGATCATATATTTTTTGATACGCTTCTTCCTCAATGATTTTACACTGATTATAAATGTTAACTACGGTGTACCCAGTAAGTTTTGGGTGCTTCTGCTTTGGACCTAATTTTGTGTCGTGTGTTTGGGGATTGGCCTCCCTTTTTTCATAAATTGACTGATCTATTAAAAAACCTGGCAATTACCCTCAATTTCGGGACTTTCCGGTACTCTAATTTTGGTAAGGTTATAGGATGTCATTCCATATATCCAACACTACCAGAAACCATAAAAAAAAATTATTGTATTTTTAGGGGTTGGCACCCTTTTTTCAGCAATTGACTGATCTAAATAGATGTGATGCAATCATTCTAAATAAAGCTACGGCGATAGTTTGCTAATTGACGCCAAAAACACTTACAATAAATTTTGCGATATTCCAAATAGAATTTCGGAAAACGCTAGAAAGGTTAAATGATTTCATAATAAATAAATACATACACATCTAAATATATTATATGAAGTGGGGTTTTATAATTGCATTCCAGCTTTATAGTGGTACGTGATTTATATATACAATTTAAATCCTATTAACGATACGTATTTTTGTAATGATAATACTGATGATAAATATGTCAACACAAATCTTTTTTTTATTCTTTACAACAATAACGAAACACGCACCAACTCCAGACTGCCGGTATAGCCTTAATGAATGTATGGTAGAAAGACATCTTGACCCACAATTCCATACATGTTTAGATTGAGCAAGGCCCCTTACAGACCTTGTGAAAAAACACTCTGGGATATATAGGTATAGGAACACAACTCTATTGACCCATTTCGTAATCATTTTTGTCGATTAGATTAGAATTTACGACAAGGAGGTTGAATTTGAATTTTCTGCTAGGTTTGGTGAATATCATTTTGGGAGCGGAAGAATCAGACGTCCACTGGGAAAATTTCTTTGGTATAGTATGTCCACTACAACATCACTAGGTGTTGTGCACGAAGGCCCAGGACAGTCCCGGTAAATTTCCTCTTGGGTGGACTAGCGAACATACAAATGTACAAGTGTGAATAATTACAGCTATCGTGCTTAGACCCCTAATTTTTTTTTTACAGGCAAATTATATTAAAGATTTTTACAGCAAATAGAACACACTTTGAATTATTAGAATTGATTGATTTATTTTCTTACTTTAGCTGATTTATTTTCTTACTTTAGCTGTAAGAAAGTGAGAGTATTAAAAGAGGCTGAAAAAGATGACTCTAACAAGGAATCTATTGAGCCGACCCAAACTGCAGATGGCCCACCTGATGATGTACAGGCGTATTTCGGACACCCCTTAACCTTGGCTACAGACGTGGTACACGGGGATGGAAACTCAAAAGCGTCCGGTGCTGCTCTGTTACACGAATATATTAATCTTCCAGCAATAGACCATCATGAAAAAACACCAGAATCTTTGCAGTGCTCCAGGTAATAGAAATCTTTGATTAACTTGTTATATTTGTTTTAGACAAAGGTTTGCTCTTCAGAATTGTGTTTATATTTCAGTTTTCTTTGTTTATCAAGTTTGGAATATCAGATGAGTTCTTATAATGGTACAAAACATTTCGGTCTCCCCCTCCCCATTGCTAAAAACCATTACACGCATTTCCGCTTTTATTTTTAGTTTATATTGTTTTAAAAATTGTTTCATATTTTTAGAAATGAAACTACATGTTTTGGACAAATACATCCCCCTTTGAATTGGCGGGCTTTTTGGTAAATAAAAAGACCACTGTTTGTCCAATTGACACGGAATCAGTCCTAAATATGCGCCTGTACCGGAAGTAGCGTTATTACAACATGACATTTATTGATAGATATTAATTTACATGAGCTGAACTTATATTTCTGGATACAACTCGTCCATGTAATTAGAATTTGTAATTTTGTCGGTGTTTTCCCGAAATTTTGATTTCATGGTTAAACAATATCATTCAAAATTCAAAAAAAAATCTCAAGATGGCGACCGTGAGTAGTCGAGTGACAGAGCAGTCTAGATAGATATCTGTATGTTGTAGTGCAAACTGTAAAGTAACGAAACTCAATAGTTTAAAATGTATCGTATTGGAAGTATAATGTGATCTTAGCAAAATAACCCATCTTTATTCACAAATGATGCTTAAAGTCGTTAAAATAGTATGACCACAAGGCGGGCTTCTCAACAAGTATATGAAAGTGACGTATATATGCTAAAAATAACTTATATTTTAAACCTCGCCCAGATCTTTTAATTCATAATCTTGAAGCCGTTTGGATTGAGTTGCATCTAAAGAATTGCAAATTTCTTATTGGTTCCTTTCATCGGAAACCTACTGCAAACGTCGATTATTGGAACTTAACAGAAGAGAGTTTCGCGACTGCAATAGACCCCATATCTTTTTATTCTCGGTGATTTTAATTAGGATTTTTTGTCAAATAAAAACAGTAAATTAAAAGATCTTATTTACGTATTTGACCTTCAACAAATTATAAAATAACCGACACGTGTATCGGAGACCTCTTGCAGCCTCATTGTTCTAATAGTCTTGAATTGTTCTCACCTCGTAAACAGTGTAGACGTTTTAGAATCTTGTATAAGTGATCATAGTCCCATTGTTGTAAATTTTAACCTAACGAAAAACAACGTTTATTCCTTTACTCGTACAATATGGAAATACTCAGATACTAATATAATACGCTTCGAACATTACCTACGCGAATATGATTGGGAAGAATTATTTCAAAATGAATAACACTTTACTTGTGTAAAGCTATACCTAGAATGGAGTATTATTAACACCATAGATAATGCAATCTAGACACTTGCGTTGGTGTTGTGTGAGCATACACACTCACAGTGTCTTTCGTACGGTATTCCTTATATGGTGTTTTGTCCATGAAACTACACCCCAACCCCTGCTAGGTTTACACTGTAACTAGGGAAAGCATCCTTCAAATGATGTAACATTACACTAGTTTGAAGGTAAACAGCTCATTACACTTATCTTAACTCCTCTTAATTTACACTGGATGAGGTGTAGGTTTACACTTTTTATATGTTAAAATAACACACAACATGGAGTAGAACATTACACTTTTTATGGGGTAATAAAGAAGACACATTTGGTAGGTCTATACTATCACCTCACTTCAATAGGTGCTTTTCAAACCCCAAAAACCCTATATATGGCGGAATGCTTAAACCCTTCTTTCCTGACATCCAATGAGGTTTAATATGCACTTTACACAAAATAAGTTTGTTGTACAGTAACACCTAAATAAGGTTTAACAAAAAAAGTAATCAGATCTATGAAAACCTATAATGATCCACACTGATAAAATCATATAGAAATGAAATGAAATGAAATGGGGTTTAACGTCCTACAAAAAAAAAAATAATCATATAGAAGTCCTGATCTAAGTATCTATATAAAGAAACAAAAAGGATTATATAAGATACGGAAAATAGTTTATTATAAATTTGCTTTTGATAATACAAGTTATTAGAAATAATACTGACATATCTACTGATATCAATTTAATGAAAATTTTGAAGCAATACATTTAAGTTTCGTTGAAGAAATCCAGTAGTCATAGTAAATGGGAGGAGGATATACAGAATAATAAAAAAGTTGAAAACATAGTAATATAGTACTATTCATAAGGGTCATATATTCTGCAAGAGACTACAAAATCTTTAAATGTTATTATAAAGATTACAAATCAATGTATAAGCAAATGATTTCTACATATTATCTAAAGTATACAGGTAAAACATTTTGACATCAATGGGGACTAATAAAATTAGGACTTTTACTGCCTTACCTAAATACCCCAATAAAGCAGCTATGTCTCAACAGCAGCCTATTTTAAAGGAACACTTAGATGTAGGATCTATGATTCTTCAAAAAAAAATCTGATCTCTATCCAGACAGATAATATATCTCTGGAACAAAAAGACAGATTGCTTCACACAAATTTGAAAATTAATAGAGTTAATCTTCAAACAGTCCTAATTATTCGCATAAACCAAATCTGTCAATTCTGGAATGAAGTTACAGTTCGATATGTGCCAATATCGAAAAGATCCAAGATCTTTTGGACATCATTGTATAGCTATATTTCAAGTTTTGTCAAAATTGGATAAAAATTGTGACCCTATGTGAACTGACATGGTATCAAAATCGGCTGTAAAACTGCAGCCTTTATCGCGTTAACAATGTTTTGGGAAGGGGTGATAACATAGGAATGACAAGTTGCATAACTCTGAAAATTGATATGGTTCATCCTCTCATTACCCAAAAGCTTCACATAAAAAAATATGTTAAAACCGTAGCCCAAATTGTGTCAAAGGGTCAATTGTTCACCTACAGACATGGGGGACAACATGATACACCCACACATAAATATGAGCATACAAAACATATTAAACCATTTTACAAATCCATCTTTGTTGCATTACTTCGATTCAAAATACCAATACCTGATAAAAAGTAAGAATGTATAAAAAATGTAACGAATTATGAAATATAAGACTTTAAAAAATTCCTTAAAATCTTCTCATATATAAATCAATTATATGCAAAACATTTCTTCATCATTGGCCAAATAGTTTCAAACAAAATTTAGGATGCTATCCTTGCCTTACATCAGCATACAACAAAAACACAGAAACTGTTGAATACTCTACATCAATCATATATTAACAAAATAATTTAAGGGAGCCTCATATCTTCAAATGTACTTGGAGTACATTTTAGTTTAGACACATTCTAAAGGTTACCAGAAAAACTTTATAAACCGTTTAAATAATTGAAGTGATTATCCTTTCCATAAGTATAAAATGATCCCGAATGTCAATGTTGTCTCCAACAGTTAAATTTCCAAGTTAGTGATTTCTGACGTTATTCAACATGCAATGGGGCAAAAAGAAATACGTCCGTGGATTAAAACCTCAGTCTAAGACAAATATTAAAATTATATAGTGAACATCAATACAGTTACTGTACATGACAAAATTTAAAGAGGGTACAACATAACATGTTGTAAATGCTGTTAAATAGAGGGACTATAAAGTCTTTTAGTATACAGTTGATTGGCAGACAGCACTTATCAGAACAGTTATTAGTACGTCTGGTTTCTCGCTCTCAACAAGGAAAGTAGAACTATCGTGCAGCCATTTTATCTGCCCACATAAACCACGCCTTTAACATTCTGGGCAACTTGCTCATGGGGATGCCAACCACTTGCTGATATATTTCCCCTCCAAATTCAACAAAGATGTTATCAATTAAAAAATCCAACATCTGAATTATCTTGATGGCCGTGAATTTGTTTTCACATCACAGCACATGTAATTGCACACAGAATTACGATGCTGAACTAATAATATGTATATTCTTTAAGTGGCATTTAGCGATCGGGGAACACATTAACAGAACACAGTTTATATGGGATACTTGTGCTTGATAACGATAAGAGGATACTTGTCGAAACGTCGTGCTTTTAGAATAAACCAGTGATTGTATCCCATAAAAACTGTGTTCTGTTAATAATATGTAAATAACTGTACACCTTTGCTTGCTGATCTGTTTCTCTATTCGTACGAAGCCGATTACATACAGACGCTCGTAAAAACTAATAAACGATCAGTCAGACTTTTTAATTTCACTTATCGATATATCGATGACGTTTTATCACTTAATAATCCTAATTTTAGTGATTATGTAGAATTCATATATCCTGATGAGCTCGAAATTAAAAACACCACTGAGAGTGACAATTACGCTTCCTACTTGGATCTGCGTCTCCATTTTGACAATTGCCATAAACTGAGTGTTAAATTGTACGCTACACGTGATGACTTTGACTTTCCGATTGTTAACTTTCCATTTATTAGTAGTAACATTCCAATATACCAGCTTATGGAGTGTTTGTGTCTCAGCTAATTCGTTACGCGAGAGCTTGTTCCTTATATTCTGATTTTTTAAGTAGATCGAGGCATTTGTCATCTAAGCTTCAACTACAAGGATACTTGCGCACTAAACTTATTAAAACCTTTAAAAAGTTTTATGGCCGTCATATTGATTTGATTGGTAAATATAACGTATCTCTCGCGGCTATTATTCTAGATATATTTAATTGACACGTATACTATTACTATCTCCCTGATAATGTCTACTACATCGTTAACACAGTTCATCGCGTGCATTTTGCATACCGATAGTTCATTGGCCAATCACGCTATTTTACAGACATTTCGCCTAATAGTTTGGATGCAGCTATGGCGGGTGTGGCGCCAGGCAGGGTAAGCTTACTCTTCCTGACACCTGTTACCACTGTTTGTCGTGTATTTTGTACACGAGGAGCAGTCCATTTGCTGATTACACTATTTTGCTTTAATACACTATTTTGCCTATAACGTTTTTTAGGACTTCGAATTCTGTCTT